TTGAAGACAAGCCGATTCGATTTGTCGGGATGGATTAACGGACAGCAACTCAGACATGCTTTTCCTCCCTCAACTTTATAATATTTATGGCAACTATAGGGAGCATAATAATGTACTCCATGGTCATTGATTCCTATATCGATACATTGTTCGACGGTAAACTCAGAACAATTGTTTAAATTTTCGTTTGCTGCCGTTGGAGCGACAGCAATCAACAACAGACATAACACTGAAATTCATAAATAAAAACATTATTGCAATTTATCGAATTCTGTCGTTTTAATTCAGTTTCTTTTAACGCCTGAATTACTAAAATGACCAATTTATAAATTCTCACGGAAGTTTTTATGTTCATAACAGTATATTTTTAGTAAAATGTATGAGTTATTCTCATTATAAACTTTTTTTTTACAATTCAATTTCTCGGCTACATATTTTATACTTTAGTCGTCGGTAATTTTAGTGCTAATTGAGCTTTTTCCCAACTGAATATTCCAGTCTAATATTTTAACACGTAGTAATCACAAGTTTTAGTACCAATTTTTTTAAAATTTGTTCCTCAAATTTTGTGTTCGACAGAATATCAAGTTTTATTCTTGTTATGTTGAAACATTACCAGCGATTATGACCTTAAATATCGCCGTTGATTTTGAAGTTATGTAAAAATTTTGTCAACGAATTTCGTTAACATGGTAATAATTTTTCTGTGTTTGGAGGGATTTCTAAAATTTCAACGGGATTTTAAATTTTCGTCGCCACATTTTTAAACGAAATCATATACATTATTGTACATTTGTCGGTATATAATTCGATATTCTTTATAAAAAGAAACTATTAATGTATGTTTGTTGAAAAATTGTTAGTTTGAATATTTTGACTTTGATTTAACAAAATTTATTGTACGGAGAATAAGGAACAGTTTTTTTGTGTTCATTCGTAGATTTTACAGAATTGAATTTAAAATATCTACTAAACGAATAATGATTCGACGTACGTAGGTTAATAGTTTTTTAGAGAAAATGTCAAGCAATATCGCCTAATAAATCAAAAATCAGTTGCTATCGAGCGTTCAAATT